TCCTTGTTGAAGGAAAGAATATAGAGAACACTTAAAAATAGCTGGTTCTGAGGTCACTCAGAGGAAGAAAGGGGGTAAGATAGGAATAAAGGAGGGTAAGTTAATGGCAGTAAAAACTAAAATGGATTTATTCAGCATTTATCAGATCCCGCCTATGTGAGAGGCTTTCTTTAGATGGAACCCAAGTCCAATATGTGGCACTGGTTCATATTGTGCTTTAAAATGAATGTCTAGATGTCAGCTGGAGCCACCACTCCCTTCAAAGAGATAAGATTAGCTCAACATCCATCCTGCCTCCACTGGATGTTCAAAGCCCTCCCCACAGTATCTCTGAGTCTCTAGGGGGTTACACTGCCATGGTCACCTCTAATTTCCAATGAATTTGTTCATTACTTGCTGTTGCCTGTATCCCACCACCCTGCTCTGGGCATGGGACCTGGCCCTTGTCCATGATTTTCTCAAATGCCTACTCCAGAGGGTGACAAGATTTACCGAAGACTTGACAGGGAGTTTACATCACAGGAACCACACAACCTCCAATAGAGTATTAGATATCCCTTCCCCCACCCAATTCCCACTCCCCCCTCCCCCACCATTGTTTTCATTGCTCACTGCACCCTTGGCAGTCTCATATCCTCACACCATCTTGCTGGATGCTTTCCACTTTTCTCCTCTCCTCCTTCTCCCCCTAATTTCTATTCCATTCCAAATCAACAGTTTCTCTAGTTCTCTTGACTCCTGGAAAACCACATCCTCAGGGAGTCACCTTATCCCAAAATAGTCTCCCTGAGTCTGGCAAGCCTGACACCAACTCTCAGGAGGTCAACATTTTCATCCAAATACAATAGGATGGATGAATGATCAATCAATTAATTAGTTAATTAGTAAAAGCAAAGTGACAGAGAACCTGAGCCAAGAAAAATGAAGAGTCAATGGAAAAAGGGGAGACCTTGCAAAGGAAACATTGAAGGGCTGAAAGAAAACACACACACACACACAATTAAGGCAGGCAGAGCCTTAACTAAATGATTCTCCACACAGTATTTCATGAAATATTCACCAGGATCGTGAGAAATGGTAGCTGTCATCCCATGTTACAGATGAGAAAAATTAGCCTCAGAGAAGTTAAGTGACTCCCCAAAGTTTTGTAGCTTGTTATGTGGTGGAAATTCTCTGGGAATCTCTTAGTCTCAAATCTAGAGCCGTCTCCATCACCCCATAAGAATACAGGCTGGAGCTGAAGCTTAGAAATCTCTAAAAAGAGAGTATCTGAATATAACTTGAAGTTAAGAAATGAAGCTGAATTCAAAGAGAGAAATGTGTGTAAGGAAGGACTGCTTTGGGACAAATCACGTTCCTCGATGGAAGAAGAGCCACCAAAGTTCAGATTTCCAGATTTTTGTTTAAAAGTTTGAAAAGATTGTGGAAGTGAACCAGATTAGATCTGAACCCTCAAAAGAAAGAATAAAAACTTAAAAAAAGGAAAACGTGCACAGGACGCCTCTCTTGTGCGCTGCAACACGCTTGAGGCTGGGGGCAGTGGATAAACAAAAGGGGACCCCTTGAATGAAGTGTTTGTTATCTGCCTGTAAAATGTAGACACAGAGAGGTGAATGTTTTCCACAAAGGCTTTCCAAATAAATCTAAATAATTGCAAAAGCATGTTTGGATGACCAGTAGGCCCACTTTATGGGCAAGTGTGAGACAAGACCTCAGCTCCACGCTTGCACCAGTGTTTTCAACCCCAACATGACTGGGGTCAATCATACCAGTACTATAATTATCAGAGACCTGTGAGGAAAGAAAAAAGGAAGGCTCAACACAGAAATGCTCCTTGTGAACAAAAGTTTCAGGATAGTTTGAAAAGAAAAAATAATGTGAGAGAACTGAGTCTTCCTAGGCTTGCCAGGGTTGGGAAACTGCCCATATTAGCCAGAACCACATCCATATTAAAACAGCAGTTTATTATGAGTAAAATAATTTAGGTCAACACTGTGGGTCCAGAAGAATTTTTTTGCCTTTTTCCAAAAAAAGGGTCCATTAGTTATTCAAGTTTAAAAATCATTAGATCGGAGAGAGGGATATTTACTT